CCCCGCGCTCGGAGGCCCCGCCCACTTCGCGGCACCACCCTCCCCCCCGAGGCCCCGCCCTTCCGCGTCGCCCCGAGCCCCGCCCATCACGCCGGGAGCCTAGGCCCCGCCCCCGCCCGCGGCCCCGCCCCCGGGCGTCAGGGCGGGCGGTGCGCGGGCGCCGGGGGCGTGGCCTTGGCCTCGTCGCCGCGCGCCGTGCGGAGTGTGCGGCGGCCGTTGGCCGTTGGCCGTTGGCGCGGCTTGGGCGGTTGTCTTGGAGAAGCAAGATGGCGGCGACGGCGGCCGCGGTGGTCGCGGAGGAGGACACGGAGCTGCGGGACCTGCTGGTGCAGACGCTGGAGAACAGTGGGGTGCTGAACCGTATCAAGGTGGGGCGGCGGCCGCGCCGGGCCTGACGAGGGGAGGCCGGCCGCGCGCGCCCGGGGCCTGCGTGCACGGCGGGCGTCACAAAGGGGCGCGGGGAGCGCCAGCCGGCCTCCCGGGCGGGGACGGAGGGCGGCCCACCTCGGGCCGACCGTGCGGGGGTCGAGGGTCACTTCCGGAGAGCCCCGCCGCGCGGCTGCGGGCGGGAGAGGCGCCCCTGCCCGGAGCCCTCGTCCGAGGAGGCCCGACCCCTGCCCTCTGCCCCGTGACCCCGCTCCTCGTCCGGGGGTCCAGCCACCCGCCGCCCCCCGACCCCTCTCCATGTCCGGTGGTCCAGTCGCCCGCTGCTCCCCTGACCCCGCCATTCGTCCGGGGATCCAGTCGCCAGCTGCCCCCGCTGCCCCTGCCATTCGTCCGGGGGTCCAGCCGCCCGCTGCCCCCCTGCCCCCGCCATTCGTCCGGGGATCCAGTCGCCCGCTGCCCCCCGACTCCTCTACATGTCGAGGGTCCAGTCGCCCGCTGCTCTCCTGATCCCCGCCATTCGTCCGGGGATCCAGTCGCGCGCTGCCCCCCCGACCCTTCTCCACGTCCAGGGGTCCAGCCGCCCGCTGCCCCCCTGACCCCGCCGTTCGTCCAGGTGTCTAGTCTCCCGCTGCTCCCTGACGCCGCCATTCGTCCGGTGGTCCAGTCTCCCGCTGCCCCCTGACCCCTCTCCAGGTTCTGGGGTTTGGTCTCCTGCTGCCCCCCGGGTCCCTGCGCGGCTGCACCTGCTGGGCAGCGAGCCCCTCCAGCTCGCGTTAGGCAGGCGGGTTGCCCGCGCTGGGGGCCTGTCTCTGGGAGTGGACCTCTCCGACGCTGTCCTGACTCTAGGCGGGATTCAGGTGGGGAAGCAGGGCTGAGAGTGCTGATGCTGAGAGAAGGTGCGAGGGGGCAGTCGTGGGCTTGGCCCGCGGAGCGTTAGCTCTTCAGAAGGCTCAGGATGCTCTTCCCACCTCCCTGCAGTGTCGTGGGGCTAGTTTTCCTTTCATCTGGCTTTTAGATGATGTGGATCGAGCCTGTCTTGGCTCGTATTGACTTCTTGTCATGAAAGTTGTCTTGAGATAATTTTTGTTCCTTTACCCTTTTTTTCCTTTTTTTAAGGCTGAACTCCGGGCAGCTGTGTTTTTAGCACTAGAGGAACAAGAAAAAGTAGAGGTATGAAATCCACAAATTTTAATATGATCGTATTCCTTGATGTTTAATTTCAAATTACTTAAAAACCATTCTCAAATGCTATTTATAGTAGTGTATAGCCAGGGATAACTTTGAACTATTATGGATTACATTTTTTTCTATTGGGAGAGAATCAGAATTATTCTCTTCTTGTGTATATTTTAGAATTTTGCAGTAATTTAAAGAAAGTTAAGGTACCACAGGAGCTCTGAGGCCAGTACTAACTCTTAAGTGTCATAGATCCCTCTCCATAGGGGAAATCTGAGACACAAGGTCATAGGAGTTACATGAAGAAATGATTCTGTTGTCACTGAGTTTACTGTCTTGCAGGATCCCTCAGAACCTTCAGTACGCGAATGTGCATTGGGGAATATAGTATGTGGCTTTTCCCAAAGTTATTTCCACCCAGTTGTCTTAAAATCGTGTAGACTTTCTTATTGTCACAGGTGCAGCCACTTCTCTGTACCAGTGTATGTCGTTTTTTCTCTCTACCCCAGGTCCCACCACCATCCTGAGTAAGCATCTTGGGCCTTGTGGTCAGCAAGAATCACTCCACAGTCCAGATCTTGAACTTGGTCTGTGACGAGTCGGTCCCCTCCCCAGCTCGCTTCTGTAGACCTGGATGCCCGCTCCTCTGTAACTCCATGGAGCTCTTCAGTTCTCAGCTCTTCTGTTTGTCCAGGCATCAGTCTTCTCTTGGCTGTCTTTTGTTCTTGACTGCCCTGGACCCTATGGTCTGTATCTCAGAAACCCTAGCTACCTTGCCTTCCGGCCATACTTGGTCTGGGAAGAAGTCCTGATTCTCATTTAATTCAGCAAAGTAACTCCCTTCCCGGTGCGCACTGGAGCAATGTCGCCCAGCGCCGTGCTGGCTGATGTCCCTAATGGGTGGATGGCGACCTCAGCGAGGTCCTGAGCAGACCTTGCGCTCCACTCTGTACAAGCACCTCCCGGCAGCTCCACCGTAGCCTCCACACACTGTTTCCTTCACTCCCCACAGGCGGCCTTGTCTCTTCCGTCACAGGGGACATGGGAGCATCAGGGCCTCACTGGTGCCCTCCTCCGCAGTCTGTCGCTCGCCTCAGAAGAAGCTGCCCCGCGTCTGTGTTTCACTGTTCCTCCTTCCTTCCTGCTTCGCTAGGGGAGGCTCTGTGTCGTTCGAAAAGGATCGCTTCCACTGGGTTTGCCTTCTAGGTGCTGTCACCTTCTCTGCAATTTGCTGGATCTTTGGCCTCCCCCCTTCTGTTGGTTCTTCTCTTGAGCCTGGAGTCAAGGAAAAAGCTGTTCCCTTGGCTCATGTTCTGCTTTTAATACCTCTCTTTTTTTTCCCCTCATGACCTAGTTTTGAAAGAATGTGTGTGTCTTATACCATTTCTTATGTTCTAGGCACCCTTTACTCCATTAACATCTTAAATCCATCACTACTGCACCGAAGTAATTGCTCTTGCTGCTGTCAAGAAGAATCTCCTAATTGAGTGTATTTTACTTCTTATTTATCTTAGTTGCTCTTGGTGGCATTTGATATTCTTAATTCCTCCTTCCTTCTTGAAAATCTCCCTTGACTTTTGGAACCTTTTTCTGTTGTTTTTCTTTTTCCTTTTGATCAGTTCTTGGTTTCTTTAGCATGGTCTTTTTCCTGGACTCCTCCCTTAAATCGTTGGTGTATTTTCCCATAGTTCTCATTCTCTGTTCTCTCCCAGGATGGCCTCAACCACACCAGTAATTTCAGCCCTCTATCTCTGGTCCATATCTCCCTCCGGAGCTTCAGACCTGTATGGCACACTGCTTCCTAGTCCGTTCTTCCTTACAGGGACCATACTTTATCCAGACAGGAAATCGGAGAGCCCCTGGACCTCGCCCTTCTCTCCACCTGTTCAGTCGGTCACATGGTTCCGTGTCTGTCACTTCTGTACTTGAAATGTCTCAGGAGTTTCTCTGCTGCCCCCTTTGCCTACACTTAGTTATTTCTTTTCCAGGTTACTTTACCCCTTTCTTCTCTCCATTGTTCCCTTCGCTGGTGTCCCTCACCAGCTTCCTAAAGTCCTTTCTCCGCATTGCTCCTAGATTGGCTATTTACAGTACACATCTGATCTTGTCCCTCCATTTTCTTTAAATATTTCGGGTTACTCAGTGCCATTTTACATCCGCATCAGCAGTGTGTGAGACTACTACTATACCTGTAATTCATGTGGTCTGCTTAAAGAAGCTCTGATGTGCTGGAAGTATTTTTCTGTATTTTTTCAAATAAATGTGTAATGACAAAAATAAGTAAGATGGCCTATGCACTACATAAAATCATCTCACATACTCCTGGTGGACTAGGACTCGCAAGTGTGAATTCAGAGTCTTGTTCATAGGAAGTATGGTGTAAGTATAGTGGTATAAAGTGACAAAGGATCAAACGTCATGTTTTTGAAATGAAGTTTTTATAAGTAAATTTAATGTCATTTCACGTGAGTATTTGAAGATCTAGCTTCTAAAGTAGTTTAATAAGCAATTTATAAAACATTCAAAAAATTTAAAATAAATACAACTCTTCATATATGGTTTTGTTTTACTAACTTTGGGGTATTTTTAAATGGCACGAAACAGTTCTTGTAGTAATCAATAGTTGTGAAATGGATTTAACCATAATTCTATGAGTTACAATATTCTACTTACATCTTTGCCCAAAAATTAAACTTTAATTTACATTTTGTAGTGGTTTTTAGGAATATATATGACACTTAAACAAATTTCATTTTTTAACAGAACAAAACTCCTTTAGTCAACGAGAGCCTGAAAAAGTTTTTAAATACGAAAGATGGTAAGATGTTCAGTTGTTCTTGTTGTCTGTCTCTGAATTTTCAAATCTTGACTCCATTTGGGAGAAATCAGGAATTTCAGATTATTTTTTGAAGTCTGATTCTTATACATCTTTGTTTTAAGAATGTATTTTATTGTACAACTGTTGCTGTTAAATATTATTGGTCATGGGAAACTGTTGGTTAAAGCCAGTTTTACTATAAAAAGCAGAACACTAATCTGTCTATGAAATATCACATTGTCTTACTAATAGTTCCAGACTAGTGAGCCTAATGAAAAAATGGGGAGACGGAGATTTTCATTACTTAATTGTATTATTCAAAGAGAAGAAATTTGTAATTAAACAACTGTAGAAACCTCTTTTCTCCCTTGAATTTGGTTTGTTTTATTTCACAGTGTTTGTGCAGAGGCTCCAGGGTTCTTAATGATTTGCTCACTGCTTCTCTTTCACTCTTTGCAGGCCGGCTGGTGGCCAGTCTTGTGGCCGAGTTCCTTCAGTTCTTTCATCTTGACTTTACCTTAGCTGTTTTTCAGCCAGAAACTAGCACAGTAAGAATAATGATTTTTGCATCTACCTTTGAAACCATCTTTGATACAAATGAGTTCATTGTAAGCTGAAAGTTAACAAAATTTGACAGCTTATAGTGTCTTGTGAGAAGATTATTTTTTGCAGTTGATTATCTGTTTTTCTTAAAAGCCGTCTGAGCTGGCAGATAGCTGGCCCCACTGTCCTGGCTTCTTATGACTTGAAAGGAGCATTACTGTAGAGTTAATTCGTTATGATGTTAGACTGCATCTGTTCATCGAGACTTTGGAGCAGAGACTTAGTAAAGAAATATTTAATTTTTAAAAATGGATACTTCATTCATTAGAAAAACAGTCTCAGAATTTAGAGATGTCTTTAAGTTCTGAAAATTTTTTCCTTTAATCTCTGAAAATAATTTTGCTGTATTTTTGTGCACTTGTGTTTTACTTCTTCCATCTTACTTCTTCCCTAGTTTCAAGGTCTCGAAGGTCGAGAGAATTTAGCACGAGATTTGGGTATTATTGAAGCAGAAGGTACTGTGGGTGGACCCTTATTGTTAGAAGTGATCAGACGCTGCCAGCAGAAAGAAAAAGGGCCCGCCAATGGGGAAGTGAGTACCACTCTATGTTTCGTTACCTTTTTCTGTTTTAATTGGCGGCCTGGTGTAGCCATGCAGGCATCACTGCATGCACAGTGAATCAAGGCTTAAATAAGAAGAGGCTATTCCTTAAAAACGAAAGGAGACACACTCAGGTTGTCTGCATGCACTTTGTAAAGAAGACTGGGCACGTGGTAGCTCTCAGGCTGCTGCTGTGCCTGCTTTGGGGGTTGACATCTGAGGGTTGATTTCAGGAGCCTGGCTGTGCGCAACCAGTCCCAGCTCCTCTTCTGACTCGCCGCGGGCCCTGGACACGCTACCCCTCTGGCTCCTCCTCTGTAGCATGGGGCTCGGAGCCCACCTCCCGGGCCGTGTGAGTGAAGCTCACACGCAGGAGCTGGTGGGTGTGAGATGCTGGAAGCACTCGCCTCACTGGTAGTCATTATAAAAGGGCTGAAGGACAGGCGAGTTCATAATTTTTGAACTTAAAGACTTTTTTAAACTAGGTTTAAAACTGTTTAAGCTGTTGATTTTGCTTAGTTTCTAAACATTTTCAAACTTCAGTTTTTTTTGATTGGCCGTTACCTTTCTTATTCTTTTTCTTTTTAGAAATCCTGCTAATGAGATTAATGGTGTGATTTCTATTTACAAACATTAGCATTACATAAAGATACTGTTTCGCAGACGTAAACAACATCATAATGGTTCTAGATAGCTGGTTAAATGTATGCTTTTAGTCTGTTCATAGGTAAAAATATGGAAGGTTATGGGCTGCCATTTGTCCATTTGGAGGGTCTCAGAGTGTGGTTTCTGTTAGATCTTTGAAAATCAGCAACGCTTGACTGAGTACTTATTGCATGTAAGACATAATAAACAGATTTTATTAATTAAAAGATAAAAATATAAGCAAGTTACTTGTCCTAGAAGAGTTGAGAGCTATTCAAGAGAAGATATGCTCACATAAGGAAAGGGACGTTTAAGTGATAGTTTACAATTTCACAGGAAGTGTCGTACGATACATGATCAGTTCCAAACGCTTCATGGGGAGTGCTTCTTAGTTCAGTGGAGCGGTGGCTGTCTCCTGTTGAAGTTTTGTTGAATTCACCCTTGTGTGAGGGCAGGAGGTCGTCCAGGAGAGGACTGGGAAGGGTGTTGCAAGAGCGCTGTGGCTGCCGGGCACGGGCTGGGAAGCGGGGAACCTGATCCCGGAGGAGAGCGCGCGCCTGCCCCTCAGCTCATGCGTTTTAACTTCGTCCATTCGTCATTCGTAATTATTTCATAAGTTTTTGGTGTGTGCTAATTATATGAGGAGCATCGTGCTAGCTACTAGCGCATACAGAACAAACAAATGTAAAGAGCCCAGTCTTGGTTCCTGCTGTCTCCTGGGCCACAGTCTGTAGTTGGTGGTGACATCCCTTGGCTTCTGTGGCCCTGACCTCTGTCTCTGTACCTGCCCTTTCATTTCCCTTCCTGGCTGCTCTTCGGTTCACCTCACGCAGGGGTGGTTGCCCACATTTTTCTTTCTGGTTTACTCTCCCTTCTGTAGCGTGTGGCCTCTGGAACCAGACAGCCGAGTTTCACGTCCCAGCTCTGCCACATGCTCTGAGTGGCCCTCTTGAGTCCTGAAGTTTCCTCCTGTGCAGTGGGGATGAGAAAAGTGCCGCCCTGGTGGGCTGGTAGGGGGACCACAGGGCTCAGTGTGTGGAAAGCTCTGGGGACAGCACTCGGCAGTGGCGGTCATATAGAGGGCCATTATTATTCTTACTGCTTCTTGCCTTCTTTTCATTACTGTATGATGGCCCCCTAAGTCCAGCCCCTTCCTTTCCCCCAGCTGGAGACCAGAGTTTCCAGCCCTTCGGAAAACATTCCACCTGGTTAACCCACTAGTGCGTTTGGATCCTGTGTCAAAAACTGACTTTATTCTCTTCTAACAAAGTGAAAGTCACACAAGGCCAAAAAAAGTCCTCCCTCCCCACTAAAAACCACGTGGTTTTAGTTGTTCCGCACTTCTCAGTTTGTATCGATTATGTTCCTGTGACTCCTTGGTTTCAGCCCGAGGAGCTCCCTCTCCTTTCGTGCCCTGGGTTCAGTCGGTCTGCCAGTAGACTTGCTTTCCCTCCCGTCCCGGGCAGCTCTGGCGACAGGTCAGGGGTGAAAGGTGGATTCCTGGAAAGCTGTCTGTGCTCTGCTGAACAGGATGTCTGCCTCAAACTGAGAGACTCAGTAAGAGCTTTCCTGTCTAGTTGGTTTGACTTGAAAACCAAAGCTCAGGAAACGTATTCTTCAGCACACCTTTCTGCTGTCTGGGTCCAGAGCCTCCCCAGTCAGTGCACCTTGTTTCATGGCTGCGATTCTGTCAGACAGACTCAGAATAGGATTTCTGGAGCTTCAAAAGGTAATTGTTTGACACTCTCAGAATGCAAAACAGTTAATTTGGACATTTCATCTCCACTTTTTGCTAGCTTTCCCCCCTAATGTCTGGGTATCTCACTTTAATGGTTCGTGTGTGTATGTGTACACATATAAATAAATCAACAAATTAATATTTAAAGTATGGAGCTCACAGCTATCCATTTTTGCCCTTCCATCATCTACGAGTGTTTATCACTTTGAGAGAAAATGTGATTTATAATGAATAAGAAATTATAGCTTTTATTGACCTTTTTTTGACTTGGTGTTGGAGAAGAAAACTAGCTGTGGATTAGTCCGTTGAGCTCAGTTAGTGATGCTTTTACCAAAAGTGCATTTTAAAACTCCCTTCAGAATCAGGTTCCTGTGCCCCACGACCTTTAACATGACTTTGGTTAGTTTTGGAGGATGCCCTCCAGCCGTAAATAATTAAAGCGCTTTGTTCTCGAAGCTCCTCCGTGAGCCGTTTTCATTCCCATTAGCAGCTTACAGTCTGGTCCCTGTCCCAGTTCAGCAGCATCTTTCCTCCTAGGTCTTCTCATCTTTTCAGTCTTTACTATTCACTGTTGCTGAGTTAATTTTAAAATTCAGCTCTTGATCTATTCCTTTCCTCTTTAAAAATTGCCGTGCCTATATAATGGCAACTAAATAATCTCCAGATTCCTCAACTTTAAGGTCCTGTGTGATGTGACACCAACCTGTCTTTCTAGCCTTGTGCCTTTTTTTGAGATGTGGAAACTTGTACCTAAGCCAAACTGAGCTTATCCTTAAAGTGGCTTGTTCTCTTGCCTTCTCCTGTGTCTCCGCCCCAATGCTACGTCATCCCCTGCCCAGCTGTGGGGTTCCTCGTTCCCATCCCCTCCTCAGCCCTGACTTTTAGGAGTGTTTCCCCACACTCTTGCTCCCTGCCTGCTGGCAGTTCTTGGAACTGAGTGCCTCTTCTGCATGACTGTCATGGTCGTCTCTGTCCCTGCGTCATGCGTTCACTGGGAGCGGGGCTTTGTTCTGTCCTGTAGCCCCTGCAGGGGTTCTTCACAGATTAGTGCTTGTGGTCACTGGGAGGCTTTTGAAGACTTTGTGCAGGAGTGCCCATTTTGAAGACAGATCTGAGAAGGTGTTAGATTAGTGAAATTGAAAGAAGTTAGAAGACGAGAAGAAGCAAGATCCCTTAGAAGGAGATGTGGCCGAGAGTGGCAGCAGTGGGGACAGACAGCTGGGCAGGGAGGGCCCTTTCCAGGCAGGACGGACAAGACGCGGTGGATTCACATTCAGGCAGGGGGACAGGGCTTAGAGCCCAATATGGGAAAAAGGAAGGCGTTCAAAGGCGAGATTGAGCTTTTTAGCCCAGAGAAGATGTTGCCTTTACCAGAAATTATGGGACTTAGGGAGAGCTGAAGGTGTGGAGAGCAGCATGTTTTCTTATTTAAAAAGTTGTAGTTGTTGAAAGGATTTTTGTAACAAAAAGCCAATTTTTAATATGCACAGTGTATAGAGCTTGTGATGATAGAGTGGATCAATTTTAGGAGGTGATTTCCATTCAAGAAACGTTAAAAAAAGAAATTCCTTCTTTGCGTTTCGCATAGTGCTGAGAACCTAACAGGTCCTTCTCTGAAGTTTGTGGTTCTGTGGTGACGGTGCAGGAGGCAGCTGGACAGGAGTAAGTGCTGTAAGAAATGACAAAACCATGGGAGCATAAAGGAGGAGGATGCGTCCTGCCGTGTGAGAGGGGACGTGTTATATGACAGCGTTGCTATTGGAAATTTTTCTTGAGACAAAATGAAGTCAGGGCGCAAATCCAGGGAGGGGAGAAAGAGTGACCATGTGGCTCCCACACAGTGTTCCTGTGGGGTCGGGATGGGACTGTGGAGGGGAACGCCTGTCCCTGGGAAAGGAACATTGGAGGCCATTAATGCGGAGGCGGCAGCCTGTTCAAGGTGATTGAGTGACATACTTTGCAGGTAATTAGAATCTAAGTGTGTTTTGCTTCGTTTTTTTGGTAAAATAAGGGGGAAATCTAAAAAGAGTATTTACGTTAATAGGAAGAAGTAAAAATACCAACGTTGTGTAGTGACTTTAAATGCTAAAATTCGGTTGAAGTATAATTAGTTTATTCATGTTTTGTTTTTAAATATGTTTTAATTTTAAACTGTGAAATATTTTAGGGTGCGCTCGAGCTGTCTGACATACATTCTCCGCCAAAGTCCCCGGAAGGAAAAGCAAGTGCGCCCACCGTTCCCAGTAAGGTGAGTGGGCGCGGGGCAGCCTGACAGGGGCTCCACGGCTCTGCGTGTCTCTCTGGTTTTCTTACAAGTCCTCTTGTGGTTTGGTAACACAAGTGCTGTTTAGTTTCTGGAAAGTGCTTTTTTCCCTTTGATGAATTTTGTATTTTTTAAAAATTAATCTTTGACTTCGTTGCTGTTTTGAATTTTGTATTGTAGAAAGGAATATGCTCTTAAGAAAATTCTAGGATGTTTGGATTCATTTGGTACTTTAAACATTTTTTTCTTCAATTAACAAGGAGGTTTACTTATTTTTTTTGATAAATTCCTAGTTTGAGAGTATTAGGTTCCAGAATATGAAATTATTGTGTTCAATATTGTTGGCCAGATTTGGAATTGTAAATCATTTTGGTTTTTTATATTAATGAGCTATTTTTTGAGGATTTATAAGAAAATCTATGTGCTCTGGCTACGTGTGTGTGTGTGTGAGAGAGAGAGAGTTGTTAAAGTTAAGGCCTTCTGATTTTGGGGATTTGGCATAATGGAGAAAAAACTTGCGTGGCACACTCCAAGTTCAAGTCAAGGATATGTACTAACAGGAGTGGATGGAGGGGCGATGTCAGGAGTGTGGTGTCTCCTGCAGCTGGCCAGGGTCCAACCTGCTTGAGAGCCCCAGCTGGCTCCCCAGAGCGTGGTTTGGGCAGATTGTGCTGTGTGACTTCCTCAAATGGCCATTCCGCAGAAGTAGACCAATGCCCTGGAGTACCTTCCAGAAGTGGTTCCTGGTGCTGCGTTGATTCGTAGATACAAGCTGTATCTTTTTAAATTTGGTCAACTTCTGGAAGGTGGAAATTAGGCTGCTAGATTTCTTTTTTTCAGATGCCCAGGCACAGACACCGATGAATGCTTCCTATTGTTATTTGTCGCTGGTTCTTTGATGTTGTTGCTCCATTTTATTTTTTAAATTTAGAAATCAAAGGAAATCTATGCTTTATTTCTAACCAAGGAAAGAGACTGTCATGTGGTTTGTAGTTGTTCGTTTTCCCTGAGATCTAATTAGCCCTTTTCTGTAGGGAAGGTTTCTCCTCAGTGTTCATGGGAGGCTGTAATGACGATAACGGAGAGAAGAGATTGGGAGTAAACTTAAAACATCTCTTTAAAGTAACTGCCAGTTAAAAGAGCCTTTGTAAAAAAGCTTTGCTTTCTATGAAAATGTCTGGCTTTAGAGGGATTAAAATTAGCATATTCCGAAATACTTACCAGTACCTATAGCATTGAGCTATTTGGAAGTTCTTTTTTTAGCAAATTAATATTTTTTAAAGCAAATTAGCAATACTAACCTTCCACATATGGTGTGTCTGCAAGATAAAATATTGTCTGGTTTCCATATTCTCTCTACATAAAATTTATTTTTAAGATCTAAAAGTTATGGTGAGAGTCTTAAGTTTTAAATTGGTTAGGAAATGTGGCTGTAAATGCTCACAGGGAAGTGATGGTAATTTTTGAGATTACTTTGGAGAACAGAAATCTGCTTGTAGGTGGGTCACAGTCCTACCGCCTTCTGAGGGTTTCATCCGTGGAGGCTCGGCTCCCAGCACCCCGGCCTGTGTCAGCAGTGGGCTCTTTCTGAACACCATAGCTTCTCTCTGGGGGAGCTGGGGCAGGGTCTGTTTTAAGAGAAGGCCTTCTTTTGGCAATTAAAAGATAATTCCCCGTCGTCCTAAAGGATGTGGATTTGGGCTTCTGGTACTTGCCCCACTCTTGGCTTGCCAGCTTTTTTCTTTCTCTCAGTGGTCTTTGAATAATTTGGGTGTCTCAGTAGGGCCTGTGCCTTCGGGTACCTCATCAGTCTTGAGGACACTAGGGACTCTGGGAAGTTGTGGCCAAGAGCAGGATCCAGCCCGACCTTTAGGAACTCCCTTTGTGTGCTCCTGCGGAAGGTGGGGTTGGGCCAGGGCACTTCTTGAAGGGGGCTGCGTAGGAGCTTGAGCCTGGCTGTCTTAGAATGCTGCTGAGTGGCGCGTGAAGTGAGAGGCTCTGCACACCATGGAGGTTGACGGGGAGGCTTCAGTGTCCACAGTGGACACGGGGGAACCTCTGTAGGAAGAGAGTTAAGAAAAGACAAAAAAAGTGGGTTTCAAAGAATGTATTAATTAGATTTTCCATTTTTAAGAAATTTTCTAATAGGAATCTTAATTGGTTTGGGTATAAATTAGTTTATTTTTACAGATTTGTATTTTGTGGTAAAATGTCATTTTATTCTCATGCTCAGATACCAAGGTATAGAGGACAAGGTAAGAAGAAGACGAGCGGGCAGAAGCCTGGTGCCAAGGTAACCGCACGAGGGCGGGGGGAGCGGGCTGCCTGTGGCGCCCCCGCGGCCTTGGCCGGAGCCCTCTGTGAAATGTCGCTTCCTTTTGTCTCTTACCAGACTGTGCTAGTCACGGTGGCGTAAAACAAACAATGACTTCACTGCAGTTTTTACCCAGGTGAAAATCATACTGTGGTGTTTGAAAACTGTGCTGTCAGCTTTACTTTGAGAATTCCTTGTTTTGCTGGCAACAAAAAGTTGAAAATGTTTCTTTTCCTTTTGAATGGAAAGTCATTTACATATTCCTAACTTTATGATTCTTATCTGAGGTAAAAAAACATCAAACTGCATTTTGGATAAGTTGCAGTCAATAAATTAAAGGCTAACCTTAGCCTTCCCTTGCAGACGTCTGTGTCCGTGTCGAGCAGCTGACTGGGCGGCCGCGCACCGTTAGCCGTCCTCAGCCCCGGCTCGCCCCGCTGCTGCCTCCCCGACAGATCGCAAAAATCGACTAAGCCAGGAGATTAGCCCTTTATAGCATTTAAACATGAGAGGTCTTAGAAGCATTATTAATGGGTATGGTTCTTCCATTTACTTGGAATAAGGTAAAACTAGCTTTCGGTTCTGAGAGATTCATTAGTCCTTGTGCAACCTGGCTTTATTTATACATTATTTTCACTAAGTTGAGGACCTCCAAAATTAAAGGTTTTAAAAAGTCCTCTTTGCTGTGTTACGTGGCTTTCGTGCTAGTGGTTTCAGTGGTCACCCCGTCACTGGATTTGTTCACGCTGTTCCTTATGCACCCTTGCACGAGAAGACGTTTTAAAATGTTACGCACAAGGTGTTTGAACGTTCATGTACTGAAAGCTGTTGTGTTCAGTGCTGTGGGGAAGACAGATTTAACACGGTTCTCACTTGAGCAGTCTTGGTCTGATTAAGAAACGTAATATAAAACAGCATTTTTTTATAGATGCTTTTAGTCAGTTTCTTGTACTTTTTTTTAAAGTTAAAAGTGTATTTCATATTAAATTTTTATAATCTTGTTGGTGTCATGGGTTTTAAACAAGTTAAGCCATTTTGAAGAAGTTGACTCCTGGAACCAAAGCACGCTGAGAGACACACGGGCACTTTGTGTGGGGGACGCAGCCACGGCGGTCCTCCTGTGGCCTGCCCCGGGGGCTGGCAGAGGAACCTGCCACCCGTAGCCTGGGCTTGTGGACTGTAAGTCGGGCCCCTCTTATGCCAGTGTTGGACTCCTGAGCCCAAGGTGCTTCCTCGATCACTCAGAACCTTTCCTGCTGCTTGCCCGATCATGTTTCTGAAGTGCCTTAAATGAAGTCTGCATTGTACCAGCATTGCCTGTTTCCAGCCTGAGAGATGAGCCCTTAGCTCTTCATCCCTCTGCCCTTCTGCTTTGCCCTGTGCATGCGGTGGGTTCCAAGTATCCTTAGTATCCTAACATTCTTAACATCTTAATAATCCAAACAACAAGCTGCGTGTGGTCTTTGAGATTGTACCCAGCCAGACTCCAGGGGGGAACCGTTCACAGGGGAAGTGAGTGGCATCTCCCAGTTGGGCAAAACCCTAAGTGGTAGCCCTGCCTTCCAGGAACCAGGCGTGCAGAGCAGGGGCCGCGTGCAGAGCAGAGTCGTGGGAGGGCCCTGGGCACCCAGCAAGGAGCCTGGTGTGTCTGCTTGTTTCTTTTGCATGTGGGAGGCACAAGTATTCGTGGTTCATTCAGAGACTCTGGGCTGTTTTCAGAGAAGCTATATTCATATTAGAGATAAACTTCTAAAACTCATTCATATATATATGTATATGTATGTATAATTGATTTGTACTTAGTATTATAAACCTGTCAATACGCAAAGCAAAATGTAAGGTTTTTGAACTAATTTAATTTCAGTAAAAACAAAAGTTACATTTCTTGTTTTTGTTATTATTGCAAAACAAAGTATGGATAGAAGAGTTGGAATACAAGGTGAATAAATATTAGATGAGATTTTTGCTAATGAGTTAAATGTTTTAAATATATACATATTTTTAATGAGTTACATGTTTTAAATATATATTAACACTTCCAAAGTATCATCTGTAATAATGTATTTCATTATAAACTATTTAGTTGTACCAAACATGGTGCTGGTTGTCTGAAAAAAATACATACATATCAAAAATTAGACTTTTGGTAGACTCTACTAACTTAATTTTTTACCATTCAGTTGAAAAAGCTGAATGAGGTATTAGATGTTTTTTTGTTTGTTTTTAATATTTAGAATAAGCTGCTATTTATCATCACATTAAATGTAATATGAGAGGTTATCCTTTCTTTCCATAATCGGTTTTCAGGTGTCTTAAAACTAATGTATACTGAGGAGTTTTTTGCTTCAAGTTCTTAAACAGCATTTCTTAATTCGTTGTTCCTTGTATTTGAAATTCTGGGGTACGCCAGGTTTATGTCGATTTAGGCAGCGATGGGGGTCACGTGACGTGTGTGTTTGGGGAGAGTGTTTCGGCGTCTTTTGCAGTCCCCTCGGTTTTCTAGATGAGCCAAGCATTATGATTCCCTCCCACGGAAACGCACCCACACCCGCCCCATCCTGAGTGAGTGAGCACCCGTGGGTGAGCCCGCTTCCCAGCACTTGGGCCTCAGCAGTCCTGCTGGCCAGCTGCTGCAGATCTGGGACCCGAAGTCTTGGCGCTCCTTGTTTGCCGAGCTCTGAGCTGCTAGCTGGAGAGGGTGAGAGTGGAGCCGCTGTGCAGGGGGTCATCTTCAAATCTGATTGTGAAGCCAGAGGTCTAGTTGTCTTGTGCACTGATAGGAGTGACAGATTGTTTTAGAGCACAGGGAGAGAGCTTCTCTCGAAAAACTTGAGTTTTTAGAAAGGTGGGTTTAAGTGTTTTGTGGTTCCTGTTTTACTTTCTGCGTGAATGAGTTAAACTTTTAAATATATGTGTGTGTTACAACAGTAGTAAAATTACTTCTCCAAGTAACTCATCAGTAAGTCATGGGGCAAACACTGCCTTTGGTGGAGTGGAGGAGGGGAACTGGGAGCTGAGGCGTTAAATATTGCATGAATTTTTTGAATACTTTTGCAAAACTGTGGGATTTCTTTGGCTTTGATATTTCTCTTTTATGAGCAGTGCAGATTAAGCTTTTAGTTTGGAAAAACAAAATTATTTTTTCTATGTTTTTAAGACATTCTAGTGATAAATCAGTTTTTGGCTATGGAAAGTTATTTTCACTGTAAAACTTCTCTGTGATGCTAATTTCTGTTAATCTAGAAATGATTGAAATCATGAATGTGTAAGTGTACTGTAGAAAATTAAAGATATACTAGAACTTTCGTAGAACTTTCCTGTAATTTACCATAAAGGTTGCTAGTCGTTAGGTCCCTCCATGGGAATTTAATGGCTGCTGTAGTGGTGTTCAGTAGGTCTCTCGCTTTTACGAAAAGACAAAACTTTATTATAAAGTTTTAGTTATGTATTATAAATACCTCTCTGAGTTCCTGGTCTGCTGTAACAAAGTAGCACAAACTTGGTGGCTTGAAACAGCAGAGTGTATCGTCTGACTGTTCTGGAGGCTGGCAGTCCGAGATCCAGGCGTCTGCAGGATCCGTTCCTTCTGAGGCTGTCGGGGAGAGTCTGCTCCAGGCCTCTCCTCCAGCTCCTGGTGGATCCCAGCACGTGGAGGCGCTCCTTGGCTTGTAGACACGTCACCGCAGTCTCTGCCGTCCTGAGCACATGGTGTTCTCCCTGTGTGTCTCTGTCCTCTCTTGTAAGGACACCAGGCATCTCGGGTTGGAGGGGTCGTGTGCTACTCCAGCATGGCCTCATCTTAATGAGTTATACCTGTAGTGACCCTATTGGTAAAGAAGGGTGCACTCTGACGTCCTGGGAGTTAGCACTTGAACTTATCTTTTTTGGGGGGACACAGTTTAACCCATAACGACCTCCAAGGCCTCTGGGCTTGTCCAGGGAGTGAATTCTCAGCAGAGTCATGGGGTTTTTTTTGGGCACACATCTTTGTTTTAAACCATTGTTGGCCTTGGCTATTTAGATTCCTCCTAAATCTTAACTCCACTTTATCCACATCTAGGCGATAGAAATGCAGGTAACTGAAGTTTATGTATGGAAGATACAGAGCTGTCTGGAGCCGTGAGAAAGGCTTTTTAAGCACATCCCGGGGTAGATCACGAGTGCTTTGTCGTCGCTCAGAAGCTTCGGGCTTCTCCAGGGAAGCTGCTCTGGAAGTTCTGCAGGCCTTTTGTTTCATCTGAAGAATATTTTGATAAGTCTTTCACCTCTTAGTGTGAATTTTCTTTTAATGGTAACAGTTATTTGGAATTAAATTTAGTGAATTCATTAGTAACCCAGTGGGGTTTTGGTCTTTTTGGTAAAAATGAGCCATAGTTATAATGACATGGTCGTATGTGGTTTAGAAATTGATTTTGAGAGCAGTTCCAAAGCAAATTGTTTTTAAAGTTTAATTTTACCCTATAGAGAAATAGAACTATAGTTTTAAGACAAATTATTATTTTTAAAAATATATATTGTGTTGAACATCATAATGTGCTTCTCCATGAAACTTATCTTTCTAAAACATCTTTCTTTCCATACCAGCAATATTGCTAAAACCAGTCAAAAAATAATCATGGGTATATATTGGTTACTAAGCTGAGATAGCTCATTTTGTGAGCTTCAATTCCGTTGGTAATGTGAATTCATGGGGAAGAAAGACTTCATTGGAATAATTGTTGTTTCTTCTAATGTTGCTTTACGTTTATGTTTCAGTTTGTTTCATGTCAGTTATCCTTCTGAATTTTCTCAGGAGTGTTTTGAAGGAGAGAATTTGCTGCTGTCTCAGTATCCATAATTGTACGTGTGTCTGCATATGACAAGACTTCAGGGTGTTCAATTCCAAATGCATATATCTTTGAAAAGATGTCAGTCAATTTTAGAACATTTATAAGTCAGAAATTATAAGCATGTGAATCTAATTAAGAAATACATAAGGGGCCAGCCCAGTGGTGCAGCAGTTAAGTTTGCATGTTCTGCTTTGGTGGCCCAAGGTTTACTGGTTTGGATCCCAGGTGTGGACCTACACACCGCTTGTCAAGCCATACTGTGGGAGGCGTCCCACATACAAAGTAGAGGAAGATGGGCATAGATGTTAGCTCAGGGCCAGTCTTCCTCAGCAAAAAAGAGGAGGATTGGTGGCGGATGTTAGCTTAGGGCTCATCTTCCTCAAAAAAAAAAAAAAAAAAAGAAATACATAAGTATATTTGATAATACCAGGAAAACTTCAAGAAACTTGTTAGTAAATTTTTAAAAGTTTCTGCTTCTTTGAAAATATCCTGTGTTGTCTAAAGGATGCTTTGTATTTGTTTTTCCAGACATGTCTTTTTACAATCATTAATTTGTCTATATTAATAGCATACGGAATGTATAGCACTATACAAGGCCCTAAAAATTGTATGGCATGCATCTTGGCTGCTGTCAACTAATCATGGCCTCTAACTCGTGTAAAACTGTAAGCGTAACTCTTAATGCAAACACAATACATTGTCTAGACACACATTAAAAGTGAAGTCATCCTTGGAGTGTCTTATTCTGTAATTTCTAGCCCACGTTATTACCACCCTGCTTCAGCAGTCAGTAACTTTTCCCCAGCCACCCAGCCCTTCTTTGTTAATTCCTAGTAATAATTCGAGTTGGAAAGTACTAAGCTAGTTCAGTTCTTGAGGAAATCTGTGCCTGGGAAAATTAAACTCCTTTGGATTGTGTAGGTGGTAGCAGAGCATGGGCTGCGTTCCTGCTGCGTTTCAGGAGAGTGCTTTTCTCCTACACACAGCCACTGCTCTCTTTAGTGTGGAAGGCTGAATCGTGGGCAGTTGCTGTTTTTAACCCACAAACACTGCAATTTCACGTGACTCAACCTAATATCATAAGTATTAAGAGCTAACCCCTGGAATCACACTTTGGTGTTGACCTGACCCCATAACTCCCTGGGGACCTTGGCAAGTCACTGAAATGTCACTACATCTCCTTTTCCATGTCTGCCGAGAAAACAGGACCTACCCCCACACCATAGGGTTATTTTGAGCATTAAATGACAACACGTGAGAAGCAATTGAATGCTTTCCATAAATGTTAGCTACTTGCATTTTTATTCTCATGATTTTTTTTTTTATTATTATTATTGTTGACATAAACATGTGTAAGGGCAAAAAGAAATCTGACCGAGGGTAGAATAAAATGAGGTTGTGAAGGTCGGAGCTACCTGTGAACAAGAAATCCAGTGTGCTGAGAACACCGTCGATGAGGAAGACGTGGGTACAAGTGCGGAGCATTTTGTTCGTTGGTTTAAGATACGTAGAAACACACACACAGGTGTCCGAGGGCGCTTAAGGGAGGTGGATGAGGGAGCTCCTCGGAAAGTGGATGAAGGCCCTCGCTTCCCCTGGCAGGTCTCTCCGCTAGAGACGCGCATGGGAAAGGCGGCACCTTTCACCTTGGCGCTGGATGGAAACTGCCGCTCTTACTGACGAACACTTTGTTTTCATACTTGGTTCACTTGTGTGAACTAATCTTCCTTTTCTCCTTTACTAGTAATGACTTCTTCTATTTTCAAGTTGAAAACATGTTAAGATAATTTATGATGCAATGATATATATGTAAGAGGAAATGGGGAAGTTGTTTATAAATGGGAAAGGTATAGTAAAGGAACTTCCAATTAGGGAGGGAGAAAAGGAATGGGAGAAACATATTTCTTGGACGTTTTTCCCCTTCAAAAGTCAGCCATGCTGTGAAGCCTGGGGATGAACTGATAGGCCGTGGGTTACTCTGCGCCTCTTGCAGTTGCAGGGCTCCACGCCCACACGCACACGCAGACACACACAGAGATTTGCGTATGTTCATGAGTTCTTTTCATTACTTAAAGTATCTTATTAAAGTTTGTTTCACCACGGAGACCTTTTCTCTTTCCTTCTCTCTTTTTCTAGAGGGCCAGCAGCGATGCTAGTCAGAGTGATACAAGTACCTCCTCATCAGAACCGAAGAGCAAAAGTAGTCTCCACTTATTGGGCCATGAAACAAAAATTGGATCTTTCTTAAGTAACAAAAGTCTAGATGTCAAAGACAAAGCTGGTCTTTGTCCAGATGAAGATGACATGGAAGGAGATTCTTTCTTTGATGATCCCATTCCTAAACCAGAAAAAACTTATGGTTGGTGAGTAAACTGTGGTTTTGGATTATCAGACTAGACATTTAAAACTATCATTTCTGAATGTTTTATTTTATATGGTTCTATAGTTATTGAATTCATAAGTTTGATTTTGTGTCATTAAAGCTTTTTCTGTTATAAAACAATTCCAGGTTTTAAAAACCCTAGATAGTAATGATTTCAGTGGATAAGTGTATACTGAGTGCCTCCCAGGGGCCAGGTGCTGTTTCAGGTGCAGGGGACAGCAGTGATGCCACTGGCACAGATCCCTGCCTCGGGAAGCGCATCCTCTTGTGGACGGAGGCAGCAGTAAGTAGGAGTCACAACATGCTGTGCCAGGACACAGCCGGTGCTACAGAGAAGGGAGGGAGTGTGAGGTGTCAGAGGACGCTCGCTTCGGCTGCTGTTTGGGCGGAGAGCTCAAGGAGAGGAGGGAGTGAACCAGGCAGATATCTGGGCTTCTGGAACTCTGGGGAGAGGAAGCAGCAGATGCGGAGGTGTGTGGCAGGCAGGAGAACAGCAAGGGAGAGTCGGAGGAGGTGGCCTCAGGCGAGGGGGCTGGACTGACCGGATGGGGGGTTCGGCTTGACTTTCAGGAGAACTGGAAGCTCTGGGGGTCTGAGCAGCAGAGTGACTAGATCCGATGTGCATTATGATGGGATAACCGGCTGCTGGGTCTCCAGGTGTGGATTCGGGGTGTCCAGGTGGGAAGCTGTTAGGATAATCTGGGTGAGAGATGATGGTGGAAGTACAGAAATGGGTGGTTTTGGATGTCTTTTGAGGTTAGATCCAAAAGGATTTGCTGATAAGTGTTAGAGAAAAAAAAAGTAGTATCAAGGGGAGCTCCATGGTTTTCAGGCTGCCTAACTAGAAGGTTGGAGGCACCGTTTGCTGAGATGAAGAGTGGAAAGAGCAAGACTGGATTGCACAGGTTGGGGATTCAGCAGTCTAAAACTCACTTTCGACATGTGAAGTTAGAGAGGGTTGTTAGTGGAGAGGTGAAATCGGCTATCAGATAGGGGTCTGGGGGTTAGGGAGGGCGTCTGGGCTAGAGAGACAAATTAGGGAGTTTTCAGTTTTAGAGAACGTTGAAAGCCGGGAGACTGCAGGAGGTCACCGCACAAGTGGGCATTGTGACGCCTCGAGGTCAGCGAGATGAGGAGGAAATGGAGAAGGGGACCAGAGGAACCTGGGGAGGGAGGCCTGGAAGGAGGAGGCCCGAGCAAGCAGCCAAATTCAGTTCAGCTGGAAATCAGCCATTGCATTTAGCAACATGGAGGTCAGAGGTGACCTTGACGAGCAGAGCAGTTAGGCGGCATGGGGCAGTGGGTGTTAAAGGATTCGAGTGGGGTCAAGAAAGAATGAGAGAAGAGGATTGTAGCTGATGAATAATCTTCTGATGAGTTTTATTGTAAGGGGTGCAGAGGAATGGGTGGTGGATGGCGGCGGGGACGTGAGGCTGAGAAACATTGAGGTGGGAAACAGCAGCATGTGTGTATGTTGATGAGAACAGTCCGGTTCCAGAGAGGGACAATTACAGGTGTAAGGGGGTGAGAGACGGTCCCTGGAGCGCTGCGTGTTCGTGCCCAGTGCCGGAATCCAGCGTCTTTGCTGCTGCGTGGGCACAGTTCGGGTGGGCTGGATGTGAGGGTAGGGGCCTGTGGAAGCTCTCATCTGAGTTCACGGTTGAGGAGGGAGAGAGGGGGCTGGAGATGTGAGGGCCGAAGGTGGTATGAAATCATCGATAACGAGGTGAGGAGAGTGGGCCCGGGGAGAGTGTAGGGTGCTGGGCCCCGTTAGATGTCTGCTTGAGGGTGGCCATCGTGCCTGGGAGAGGGCTCAGCTGCGGGGCTGTTGGGGCTCTTCTCAGCAGTGTCATGGCGGAGGTGTAGTGACCTGTGCTAGTCGGCTCTTGTGCTGTCCCCTGCCTGTGTTTCTGGGCGATGGTAGGGGCTTCTGATAAAATCACAGACGGTGCAGATGGTGAAGAAGAGCAATTTAACCTGTCAGCCCAGACAGAAGTCTAGAGAGGGGAGCTGATTTCCCCTGGTAGCTTGCTGCGTGATTTGTGATTGCTCCTTAGTCTGCACTGCCTTGTAGGTATACTTGATGCTTTTGCAAAATCTGTGAGATGTATCTATGTCCCAGCCACTGTGTGCCTATAAGATATATTGCAGTTGCTTGTGTTGCAGGGGCAGAGGATGAGTACCATTTAACTGTACGCTTGTTTCTTGTCAGGAGAAGTGAACCTAGTAAGCCAGTAGGAAGCCTGGCATCGCTCTCTGACGCCCCGCCCTTAAAGAGCGGACTCAGCTCCCTAGCTGGAGCCCCCTCATTGAAGGACTCTGAAAGTGAGTGCCCCAAAGTCCCCAGATTTGCTGACTGAAGATGTGGACTTTGAATACTGATGATATTTTTTTCTCTGATTGATTAAGTAGTCTATAATCATCGTTTACTTTTTCAGAAAAATGTGTGTAAAATCATAAAACTAGATAATAATTTTATCACTCAGATATTTCCTGTTAATATTTTATTTTTTTGTTTCTTTTTAATATGGTTTTATTCTCTATATTGTTTTGTATTTTGCTTTTCCTATGCCATCAAAATACTTTTAGGAAGTTGACTTTTTAGCTGCCTTACACAATAAATAGATATTAAAATTTTAAACCGTCTCTCTTGTTGGATATTTAGATTGACCTGAGTAGGATTTGAATTCAATTAATTTCTAAGAATTTGTTTTTGTAGATTCTGTGATGTATGGTAATCATCATAGGAGCGTTGAAGTGTTGTGCTGCCTTCAGTGATTTGGATCTGGTGTCTCTTTATGTGTGGCAGAGGCGGGGCTGCTTAGTGGCCCTGGAATAGCCTGTGGCTGCAGGACTCACTTTCCTGCCCCTCCCCACGTGGGTGGTGACGAGACCAGGGATTTAAAAAGCATGGCCCCAACATGTAGATGTGTAGATGAACTTTGTGTGCTGTTATCCTAGTAAATACAGGGTTTATTTGGCAAAGTGTTTAGAGCATTAATGTGCCTCTTTTGAGAAAGTTTCCTAAAAAAGTCGATCTTTGTTAGGAAATTACATTGTGAGTTTTGCAGGATTTTTCCCTGCTTACTAACCTTTTTGTATCCCACCATACAGCTGTAGGATTTCCCAGGACAGGTAAAGGAGATGGTCTGTGGCTTCTCTTAGCCTGCAGTAAATTAGCCATGTATCTGTTAATACGGCCCACGTCAGTTTCCCTCTTTTTCTTCTTTGCCCTGGTTGTTGTCACCTTCAGTAAAGGAATCTAGAATGTCCTTGTCATGTCACTCTTAACACTGACTAGGCAATAAGGATTTAGAGAGGACATTGAAACTAGGGACTGAAGAAATAAAACCATTGAGGACACCAGTTTGGTAAACGGAACAGCAATTGAATTGAAACAAGATGTAGAAGTTCAAAGGGAGAATAAAATTGATGAGAAGAATTAAGGGTAGTTCGTGAATTCATGCCCAGTGGGGCTCTTAGAGAAGATGAAATCTGATAGTTGGGCAAAACATTATTTTGATCATCATATTTCAATAGTAGTATTACGTTTGGTTAAAAAGGGATGTAATGCCTGATGTAAGCAACCGTTAGTCACCGTTTGTAATTTTTTCTTGGTTTTCAGTTACTATGTTTCTGTCATAAAGAATCCCTATCCTAAAAAAAAAAAATGACACAGTTTAGAGACTGTTGTAGTTTAAAAGTCAATTTAATGTGAATATTTTTTCCTGTTCACAGGTAAAAAGGGAAACACGGTTTTGAAAGATCTGAAATTGGTCAATGATAAAATTGGATCACTTGGATTAGGTAAGTAGATTTCCAGTTTTAGTGCTGATGACTCTGGGGTGGGTATCTTTTTAGAGTAAAATCGTCGGCGGAGTGACTCGATCAGCTTGCAGGGAGCACCTCCCAAGCAGATGTGTGATGGTTTGTATGTCTGTGGGGCTCCTGCATATGCCAGGGAGGGAGCTGGCAGCAAGCGGGCTCTGTCCTCGTGGGGTTCAGTCCAGCAGGGGAGACAGGCATCAGACAGGTCCCTGCAGATTCCTCAGTGTCGGGAGAGTCAGGACGCACTGGGATGTGGATGGGTGGTCAGTGGGCTTAACCGAGCCTTGCCATTCGGGAAGTCCTCTCCTAGGAAGTGACTTCTCTGCCGAGACCTGGCGGGTGAGGGAGAAGGGCAGAGACTGCAGTGTGGACTGAGAGGACAGCTTGTGCAAAGGCAGTCACTTCTGGGTGCTGGGAGTCCGTGGTCCAGGCCCCAGGGAGCCGGTCTAAGAGGGAGGCAGACTTGTAACAGGAAAAGCTGGGGTTCGACACTGGGTGTTGTGTTCAGTTCTGCTGTGTGGGAACAGTGGTTTGTGACCCTGAGGAATTAAATTCGTCCTTCCAGAAGGAAGAGCCTCAGTGTGAGTGCTACAGAGCCCTGGGCCTGGTTCTCACCCAGTGCTCTGTTCTGTGCAGAACGGCAGGCAGGCAGGCGTGACGGGCGTGCTTTAGGCACACCTGCCTCCGCGGCCGCCCGGAAGGGGCTGGTTCAGCGCAGGTTCCCTGTGAGACGGGAAGTCTGCACGACCTGCTGCTGGGGTCTCCCCGTCTGAGTGCTACGCGACAGGGCACTGGGCCTGGCTTCACAGGCACGCTGGGAGGAGGAAGGATGTGGCCCCTGCACGCCATTTGCTCTTACAGCTGCAAGGGCTGAGTGGGACAGCTCAGAGAAATGCCCCTCCCTCTTCTGGAGAAACAGTCTAGAGAGTGGGAAGAACTGGGGTTTGGAAGTGGGTAGATTTCAGTAAAATCCCAGAGGTGGTCCTGATTGTTGAGTAAGGTAGGTAGGTAAACAGGCATTTCCTCATCAGTTAGGTGGACCTAGTAATGTCCACTTTGCTTTAGAGAGTGACCAGACAAAAGTACAGCGCCCAGCATGGTGGATTCCTCATAAATGTTAGTTCCCTTTTTGTGTTCCTCTCTCTCCCCATTTGCAGCAGAATAGGCCTTCCCTGGGCTGCCGGACTCTGTTCAGCAGGGACCTGGACTCGTGCTAACAGCTGAGGTGGTGGTTGCTGGCCGGCCAGCTGGGTGGGCCTGCTCCCTCCTTCCGTTTGTCTTTCCCCGTTCGGTGTGATTGAGTTTTCAGTTAGACGTTCTTGCCCACGGCCCGATGGAAAGTCTGCTCCCAGGTTTTCACCATAGGCCCTATCTCCATGGACAGCCACACCCAGAGACACACTTCTAGCCTCCATGTCTCCACAGCCGGCCCACCCCCGTCCACTTCTGGGTTTGTTTGTGTCTCACCTTTGTGGTGCTTCCCTCTGTTGCCGAGTCGTTTATCTTCTCTCCGCCTGTTCTGTTCTCTCTCAGAGCGAGGCGGTCTGCAGTCTGGTTTAAGGCGGAGCTGCTGAGAATTCCCCTTGGCGAGGGGAGGGCTTCTCCTGCCTCTGCGGCCACTGGCTGCGGTCGTGGCGCGCTCTGCGGCCTCGCTGCACTCTGCCGGGACTCTGTGGACCTCGGCTGGGTGTTGGGACCTTGGGTGGGTGAGGTGAGACTCACCAGGTCACCAGCCAAGGGTCAGGATTCTGTGTAAAGAAGCATTTTTATTTAGTTTTGTTTCATAGCATTGTAATAGTATTGTTTTCTGTTTGTTTTTTATTTTCATTGTAGTACACAGTATTCTTAGTATTTTAAGTGATACATAATGTCAGAATAAACATGACTAGTGATATGTGCCTGGCAGTGTATCAAGAAATGGTCTATTGAATTCACATCCTGTGAGGTGGGTTCTGTTGTTCGCTCTGTTTTTACAGATGAAGAACCCCAGGGAGGGACGTTGCCTAAGATCATACATACCGCTTTCAGAACCCTCATATGGCAGCGAAGAGCCCTAACCACGGGGTTTCACTGCCTAGACATTATTTAAATACCACTTCAGTGGGAAAATAAATTCTGAGTTCCAAAGGAATAATTACAAATAAAGCTTTACAGTACAACTTACGTTGCCTGTTGAAAGCAGGACTCAGCTGACTTTTTCCGTAAAGGCCAAATAGTAGCTACTATAGACTTCCTGGGCCACGTGAGGCCAATTCAAAGACAAATATTTACTGAGTACCGTGCTGGAACACAACCTGAGATCCTGACTTCCGGAAGGCAGGGGGTCTCTCAGCTCTGTCATCCACTTGCAGCCTGGCCCTCCCCCGCCTGAGCAAGTGCTCCCCTCTGCTCTCTGCTCGTGTTCTCTTGGGCGCTGTGGCTGGTTGGGAGGCTGCCTCAAGATTGAGGAGGTGCCCCTGCTGCCAACTCCCTTGCCGCTTCCCGACCAGCCGCTGGTTTGTTTAATCGGAAGGCTTTGGCTGGCGCTGTGGCCAAGTGGTTAAGTTTGTGCACTCTGCATTGGCGTCCCAGGGAAACCACAGGTTCGGATCCTGGGCGCAGACATTGCACCGCTCATCAGGCCATGCTGAAGCAGCGTCCCACATGCCACAACTAGAGGGACCCACAACTGGAATATACAGCTGTGTACTGGGCTCTTTGGGGAGAAGAAGAAAAAGAGGATGATTGATAACAGATGTTAGCGCAGGGCCAGTCTTCCTCACCAAAACATACCTTGGAGAAAAAAAAAGGTTTCTACACCTCAGCCTCCCCTCTTCTCCGCCTGGCAGCTGCTCTCTCAAGTGCTGTACACCCCTTCACCTGTGAGGCTGCGAGTCCCCTGGGCGGCGAGTGCAGCTCGGCTCTTTCTTCGAGAGAGGAGAGCAATCTGGAAAGCTGACGCCCACGTGCTGCTGATTGCCTGGGACCCTCGTTCGCTGTCGGCAGTGATGTGGGTGTAGCTGTAGCTGTGATTCCTGCTTTTTCCGTTTTCCGGTGTTCTCTCCTCCCACCCCATACGGTCCATCCGTCTGTCTGTCTGATTGTTAGGACGCTTGCCTCCCCCCAGCCCTTACCCCAGTCATCTCTGGCCTGGACTTCGCAGTAGCCTTTTGTGTCTTCTGCGTTCTTGCCTCCCCTGAGCACGTGTCTTCCTTCCTGCAGTGGTCGGAGTGTCTGTGGAAAACAGAAGTCAGCTAGCGCTCTCCTGCCCTCTCTCACTCCTGCCCCCTCCCGCTTTGCGTTGGGCTGAAGTCCTGATCCGGCGCAGGAGGCCCTAAATGGCCTCTGCTGTCCCTTCGGCTCTGCACACCTTTTGTCTCCCCCCACGTTCAGTATTTGATGGTGACACTAGCTTCCTCAGCGTTTTCAAACCACTGCGCCTTCCCCTATCTCAGGGCCTTTGCACATGTTTCTGCTTCTTGGAAAACACTGTCCCCAATAATTTGTACATCTGGTACCTTCTTCAGGTTTCAACTCAGCTGTCACCTCAGAGAGTTCTTCCTGAACACTCAAACAGCATCTCATTTGTTCAGCTGTTGGCTGCCCCTTTCCCACCACGACAGTGTCAGCCCCTTGAGATTAGAGATGCCGGCTTTTCCGCTGCCATGTGGGCCTCAGTGGCCCAGCAGTCACTCACATGCTTGACAGTGAATAAGTTAGTCGTGGGCTTTTGCTGGGAGAGGGTCACTGTCTGGCTGGCCACGCAGGACTTGAATCCCCTCCACAATGCCCTGACCTAGAGCAGGTCCGGTCTGACACTTGGAAGGACTCCAGGCGTGGTACCAGTAGCACCTCTGAACAGCGCGGTGTTGAGCCAGGCCGCCGAGGCAGATGTGTGAACTTAACTGCTGCGCCACCCCGCCGGCCCCTGAGACTTTGTGTTTATGATGCAGTATTCAGTAATGTAGGTTTTTTGAAGGAAATCTGTATGTGTAATTGTAGATAAAGCATGAAGTGTGTGCATATAAATATGTATATCTTTTCTTAAACTTGTTAGGGACTGGAGAAGAAGATGACTACGCTGATGACTTTAACAGGTGAGAAAAATAGTTGGGCAGCAGCTCTGTAAGCACTAAACGATTTCTGAACGCAGGACAGGGCGACGGGATTACAGGGCGCTTATGTTAGTGTATTGGAGTCTCTTGTTCAGATTGATTGAAGAGGGGTAAAAGAGGGAGAACCCCAAATCGTACACGGGACTTTGAGGCGTGTTTTTGATTTTAGCTTAGAATGTGGAGGTCTGCATTACGTTCAGGAATCTTGGTGAGGATGCGATGAAGAGACAGCGCTGCCGGCGGGGCTTGGGAGCCACTCTGTCTTCACCGTGTTGTGGGAGCGCCGTCTCTCCTCCCCTGTCTCTGCTGGGAATTATCTGCATTCACCTTCAAGAACTTGTCCCTCAAATTATTGTTGTGATTCAGATGACATTTCTTAATTTTTTTCAGATAACTTTTTTGTAAACAGAAAGACAGTATCATCTGTGAGTTGGCTAATAATTAATTTGGAAGTAATATTTGGTGTGGATATGATTAGAAATTTTAAATTTGAGTCTAAGAATCCTAGATAATTGCCAGTTTTTCCATTTGGGAATTTTTTAATCTTTTTACAGTAATTTACAGCTTTTTGAGAGATGGCCGATGTAGTGGAAGAAACTTTACAAATCTGGGCTGGCTTCCTCCTTGCCACGGTGACCAGAGTCACTGCCGTGGACCTTAGTTTCCTCACCTGTGAGACTGACTCGGCTGTCCCTGTCCCTGTGCTAGTTATGTTAAGGGTCACGTGAGATAATGTGTATGAAATGAATGCTATTTAATATTTTATATTTATTTGAAGGATTAAAATAAATCTTTGAAAGGTGGAAGTGGTCGTTGGTCTCTTTAAATGTTCTTGTTTTTCTTTCCCCTGAAATTAGTACCAGCCATCGCTCAGAAAAAAGTGAGCTCAGCATTGGTGAGGAGATCGAGGAGGACCTGTCTGCGGAGATCGAGGACGTCAACACCAGTGACAAAGTACGGGGCGAGCGTTTCCCACGGGTGCTGTTTGTGCCCATTGGTTGCCTTGATTTAAGTGTAAAGCTTCAAAAATTTACACAGATTAGGAGAAAAACAATTGAAATTGTGAAAGGTTATGACACAGTTACCTGGTCCAAGTCTCAAAAGAATGTCTTTAATGAATGTGTGAGATCGTTTTCAGGTGTCACTTCCTTTGGTAACTGAGTGCTTCTGAAATGTCTGTGCATTGTTCTGGGGACCAATTGCTATGGGTTTAGGTGGCCCCAGTGGGTCAGGACTAGAGTCAGAATCAACCCCCTCAGTGGTGTGGGCAGTCGGTATAGGCAAGAGGTCACCTTCAGAGGAGACGGGGGAACCGGTGTGTGCGTGCGAGCACTGTGAGTGCAGGAGGCCAAGAGGTCACCTTCAGAGAAGACAGGTGGGAGCCAGTGCGCGCGTGGGAGCACTGTGAGTGCAGGAGGCGAAGCGCAGCTTGGGGCGCAGGCCGTTTGTGAGCTCTGAACAGGTGGGTCCAGGCTGGCGCTGGGACCCACGGGAGAAAAGACAGCAAAAACGCAGTCGGCCTGTACAATTAGGAGTCCATTGGAGATCCACATTTTGCCTTTTTTCTTGGGCAGAGAGCAGAATATTCTTAGATGTGTGTTGCATGTGAGGGGTAAGGCAGCCTCTCAGGGTCATAATGATTTGTCTTTCTCTTTCCTTTGGATCTCATGTCATCCTTCAGAGGCCTAAACATGTCGCTTTAAAGTTACCGAAGAATTCCAGAAGGGTTACTTTAGCCACCAGTTTTCTCGTTAATGTAGAGTTTAGCTATTAGCTCAGCTTTTTGGTATTATCACAAATTTCAAAACAGGAAGAAGAAGCTGAGGTAAAGGACTTAGGAATGTGAAGCAGTTTGTAGAGTATAAAAGAGAGAAATATATTTTAAAAAGTATTTCAGACTCTGCTTGCATCCTGACACCAGTTCTTTTCTTTCTTTTGAACAACAGCTTGATGACCTCACACAGGACCTGACTGTGTCCCAGCTCAGCGATGTTGCAGATTATCTGGAAGATGTTGCATAGACATGAAAGAAGGAAGTATTCCAATCAACAAAGGACAAAGGACTCTGATTGGTTCCATTTTTTTTTTTTCAGACAATCATTCTTTGCTGGAATGTCTGCTCCCTATTGGTGCCTTGTGTTTCAAGAAGACTGCAGATATTTTTAAAAATTAACTTTTCATTATACTAAACAAGATGCTTCCAATTTGAGCCCATGTGTGGAAGATTTAATATTCTTAATTTGGTTTAGCTACACGTTTCTCTCTGGAAGTTATCTACACTCAAATTCATTACAAGGAGCGAACCCGTGAAATTACCAGTATTAAGAGCGTCTGAAAGGTGTCACTAAAGCTGCAGGCTCACCCAGCTGCGCTTGCGCGTGGCCTCAGCCGTGTGGAGTCCGAGCCTGCTGGCTGCTAGGTGGCTCTGCAGAGCGCTGGCAGATGACCTGGTAAATCTGTAGTACTGAAGCCTATTGCTGTCAGTTAAATTGGATGTGTTAGCTTTATTTTGTATTTCCTTCCATTTGGAAGGTTCGTTAGACCATTAAGGTTATATTAAAATATTCTTCTGTGTACTACTTAGTTTTGCTTGTTTTAAAGAAATCTGGAGGTGGTTATGACTTTAAATTTGTGGAATTGTCACTGGCAGCATTTGCAGTCGCCGCCCCTGTGTCCATGTGAGAAGCTTTAGTCACAGGTTCTCTTTGTTATGGTTATAATTTATTATTTGTAAAGATGCCTCGAAACATATTAAATACCAAAACGCATCTGAAACCATTAAGCAATGCTTTTATTTCAGATCTGTAAGGTGCTTCTATTAAAATCCAAATTGGACTGTAACAGTAGTAATGGCCTAAGACCAGATCCAGTGTGCCGAGCTGTTGACACTGTACATAGTTTCCTTGTAACCCTTTAAAAATGGAGCCAGTGAGAGAATGCCAGACTGTCTCAGTTACACTGTAGGTTACTGATGTGCTGCAGTGTTGAAAGAATGACAGGAAGTGGTGCCCGCGTGTTCATATGAGTAAAGCTGTGATTGTGTGTTACATTTTGTACTTTTCAATTTCACTTAAATCATGGCTTTTTATTAAAAGTCACCTTTATTAATAAAAGGAACAAATTAGACCTAATTCATTGATATCAGTAAGTGACCAGCAGACTTCATGGTTTGTGTAATTCCAGCTTTTGATTTCATGTTAGCCTAAGTATTACAGAAATCTTTGCTGGACCCTAAAATATCAAGGTAAATGATAATGTAAGGATTAAGCTTATGTAACATTAGAATCTGACTTTATCAAATTTAAGTGAAACTGAGCCATCCATATCAAGAGGAAGTAGGACAGAAACTGGGCACGGGTGGCCTGGAAGCCTGGCCCTCGGCCCTCAGTCTGGGGGCCGCCGGCTTGGATACAGTCGGCCTTTCCTGTCTGAGCAAATGGCGCTGTGTGAGGACGTCGTCTGTGGTGCCCGCTCGCCGCATGCTTGTTACAGCGCATCCCCGTGGGTGCCATCTGGCCTCCAGTCACTGCTGTGAAGGCCAGAGTCCGTGTGGCGCTCCGGAAGCTCTGTCAACGGTGTGCTCCTGTTTTACAGGCTGGGAGCAGCTCCATTTCAGTGAAGTGATTTGAAAGTTTAGCAGGGGCAGCTGTTTGTGGAACATTTTTGAACAGTAGCATCAAAACTTGTCATTTTTCTATTTCCCAGAGAATCTGACCTTTTGTTAATATCTGGGAGGATAGCGAGAAAAATGCCGAACATGAAACTTCCTTTGTCATCAGCACGACATGCATCTGAGTGAACAATTTTAAGTAGCTCGAGCTGTGAGAAAGTTTTGTCTGCACCTGTGTTCCTTGACTAGATAGAAGGTTTTGAGTGTGACCAGTGTTTTCTTTTTGTTACGAAATACATGTTTATGGTAAAATCTGTATTTTAGAGTGGAGTTTTTCAAATGCTAGATCTTGTTTATGGATGCGACTCACAGTGAATAAAACGCTCCTGCCTTCTGTTTTGTGGTGTGTGACAGCACGCGTCAGGTGCGGGCGCGCTCTCATCCTGCCCCACAGTGGCCTGTCTGCAGCACTCTTCACCGTCTTCTCCTTGCCCCGCCGCGCGGGCCTGTCTGCCCCTCCCGGCTGCCGAGGTGGTCCCCTGCTGGGTGAGTCTGGATCGCCCTCCCCCAGAACTGCCCCGGCTGGCCTATTTCCGTTTCATTCTCAGGAGCTCCAGCCTGAAGGGGATGACCGTTTTCCCTCCCCTCGTGTCACCGTCACCGTGCCCTGTGTGGTTTACTCCTCTCCGCTCTAACTGCAGGGGCCCTGTGGATTGTCCATGAGCTCCATTGGAGCAGGCACTTCTTTACCCACTGCATACCCGTGGTACCTAGAGGAGCATTTCGCCCCAGCATGTGCTCAGTAAGGGTCCCTGGGGATGTGAATGGACGCTGGCAAGGGGGCCTGGGAAGTGCAGTTACTGCTGGGCAGCTGCCTCCCAAGGACCAGGCTACTCAGGGGACAGCTGTCCAGACCCTAAACCTGGAAGCCCAGCTTCAAGTCTGAGGGGTGGGCTCATGGCTCAGTAAAGGCCATCTAATGGACAGTGGGTCCCTGGCGGCCCCTCCCACCACCAGGGCTCATTGGAACATTGCTCCTGAGGGAAGTGGACTGTCATCTTGTCTGTCGCTCGGCGTGGATGTTGGCACAGGAGAGGAACAGAGCAGGATCCACAGGGGCTGGGTTGATGACCCCCCTGGACCTGCACGCGAGGGTGTTCAGCCCCCCTGCCGCTGGCTAGGTAGGGTTGCCCCCTGTCCTCTGCCCCTGCACCCTGACCCACCCCTGCCATCTTGACACTCTACTGCCAGCCTCCTTCTAAGAAGGGGCATGTTTGGGGAAGCAAGTGCCGGGGACATCCAGGCAGCCACACTTAGGCGTCCTCCACACCTCTCAGAACTGCACGGCCCAGCCAGGAGCTCTGCACCTGAGGAGAGGGAGCGGCATGTTGCGAAAGGCTGAGGCGAGCCAATGGAGCAGCTTAGGTTAAAGGAAACGGTCAGAGAACAAAGTCATTTAAAAGTAAAAACCTAATTACATGACCAGAGATTTGAGAAAACTTGAACCTAAAAGAGGCTTCTATGAAAAAGGTACAGTCAAGATAATTTTTGATTAAAAACTTGGGCTAAGTCATTCAGTCCAAGGGCTGACTGATGAGATAAGTAAAAAAAATATTAGTAACCTCAAAGGTAAAGAATCTGCCTGTTTACCAAAAATGACCAAGATGGGCGCAGGATAGCCAAGAGACGAAAACGGAAGGTGGATTGAGGACCACAGCATCCACGTCCAGGAGAGGAGTTGCAGGGTTGAAACCAGGACAGTCAGACATCGGCAAGGATGCCCTTAGGTTCAGGGACAGCTGAGTGCTGAGCTGGGTGACGGAAGACAAGGCCCGTGGCTGGATGTCCCCCCGTGAAACTGGACAATTTTTATTGCCAAAAAAAAGACTTCCAAGATTCCTTGAAAGAAATGAGAATGAGAATTGCCAACACTGGATGCTAGAAGTAACAGAGCCATGACTACAAAGCTAGGAGGAAAAAATGATTTTTGAGCATAGAATTTCTGCCCTGCTGAGAAAAGAGTCTCCCTGCCAATGGGAAATGCGTCCCAAGGCAAGAGAAGCTGAGCCTGGCATCTCATGGGCCAGCCTCGGGCGGGCGGGCAGGGAGAGAGGCCGAGGGCTTTGCTGGGCCTGAATCTCAGGAAGGACTGGAAGAAAAGGGACAGGTGGGAGCAACAGACACCAGGATAAAGGGTCCAGGTGACGTCTAGGGGGTCTTTCGGATATTCTAGCTTGAAACAGTTGTTTTTGGCAATTTTTGACAATTTATGCAATCTTCAGATTTGATGATGAAATTATTTTTTCCATGAATGTTTAACTTTCAAACACTTGTAGTTTCGAAAAAGCCCATTTTGGAATGTTTTGTAAGTTGCCAGACGATTGGATGTAGATCTTAATCATACTTGTTTTCTTTTAAGTCACTTATGCTTTGTAAAACTGAGTGGTTTTACAGAAGAGTAATACAGATGAGGGTAGCTCTCCTGAAATGAAGATTTTTGAAGAAGTTGTCTTCTCACTTAAAGAATTTGGCATCTCTCTCCCCTTCTACTCTGGGTCCACGTGGTATGTGGTTTTTGATCTTTTTATCTGACTAAAGTTTTTTTTTTTAAAGATTGGCACCTGAACTAACAACCGTTACCAATCTTCTTTTTTTCTGCTTTTTCTCCCCAAATCCCCCCAGTACGTAGCTGTATGTTTTAGCTGTGGGTCCTTCTAGTTGTGACATGTGGGATGCCGCCTCAGCATGGCCTGATGAGCGGTGCCATGTCCACACCCAGGATCCAAACCAGTGAAACCCTGGGCCACCAAAGCGGAACGCGAGGACTTAATCACTCAGCCACGGGGCCGGCCCTTGACTAAAGTTTTAGCTTTGGTACAGAGAATGACCTGTGCCAACCGCGTGGAGTCTTCTGTTGGCCCTGACGCCACATGCTCCCTCACACCTGTGCTTTGCCTTCACACCCTGTTGAAACACGTCGTTGCTTCTGCGTAGGACACACCACTTTCCTTTCCCCCCTCCTCCCTCAACCCCCCTTCCCAACTCACACACATGGGCAACTCCTGGTCTCCTGTTCCCAGGCCCAGCGGCCCAGCGGCTTGCCGTCTGTTCCCTCTTACTCCCTGCACACCCCATTGTAAGGAAAACATTACCAATATTCCAACAATGCTCACCCATGTTCAGGATGCTAAGTGCCCATGCACACCACATGGCACAGCCGCACATGGGGTTGTCCCCAGCTGACCTCTTAGCCTTACTCAGGGAGAGAAAGGGACTTGCCGTCTCACCTTTGGCTGGATGGAGGCCCAGGGTGTGGGCATTATCGTCCAGCTCATGTCTTTTGGGGGTGGAGTGGCAGTAGAGGAGCAGAGTGAGGGCAGTGAAGGCCCCTGAAAGCTCAAGAAATCAAGAGGCCGGCGGGGATGGCTGGCTTTGTGGAGTGTGTCTGGCCATCTTCGGGGATGGATATGAACATGCCGTGAAGGTACGGTGCTTCTCTCTGGCTTTGCTCTTCTGAAAGAAGAAGCAGTTACATTAAATATTGTAAGTCTCCTCCTTCCACGGAGCAAAAGTAAAACCAAGGACAGATCTGAATGGCACGGCTTCTAGCTGTGCTCGGGGGGTGGGTCTGCCCCGGGTCTGTAACTCTCTCTCATCTGTCTCAGATTTCTAGCCCTCAGTCTGTACGGCCTGAGCTCCGTTATCTGACGTGACCTTTTCCTCTACCTCCCCTTCATGCCCTCGTCCCCCAGTGCCAGGCATCGTCACCAGCCCCTCAGCTCCTCTCTGCTGGGCGTGGCTCCCCCAAGCCGTCCTGTCCCTTGAACAACTAAGTGGCACATAATTGTTTCTCTAATATTTTTTCTTTACATTTTAAGGTATACTATTGTGCACAAATATATTGATTACATTTATAGAGGTTGCTGTATACGAAAGATTATAAATGAAAGTGAATGACATCCACTACTTTCATTTATCATGATTTATTATGGGACACATTTACTTGACCCACCTTGATTTATTAAGCACATGTTTCTAAGAAAATATTCATCAGATTACAAAGAAACAAAAAGACCGCCTGTACCTAAAGCTGTCTCCATCAAGTTTCTTAGAGAAAATGTATTCCTGGGGTTAAACGACACACTTGTGAATGGAATTTCTCAGCATAATCCCAAACTTTGGAACAGCTTATGCAAATTAATACTCTGTACATTTCAGCAAACATTTGCTGGTTGATTGCTGTCCTATGAGTCCTGCAAACGTGGAGAAGATGTGGTCCCTGTCCTGTGGTGAGCCACCAGGTCCCTTTTCAGTGAAGGGCTGCCCAGCCCAGCTGCTTGGGCACTCTGACGGCCCCGCCAAGGCCCACCTGGGCTGCAGAAAGCCTCGTCACCCAAGGTGGACCCCCACCGCCGGTGGCCCTCATCCAGTGATTACAGTGGCTGATCTGTGTGTGGACATAAAGGCCTGGCCGGCTCACCCTAAGTCCTAAGGGCCATTCTGGCATGGGGGGCCCTGTGGGCTCTGCAGAGGCTGCTGTTGACTCGCTTGGTGACCTCTCCTCCTGCCTCCTCCAACTTCCCTCCCACCCCACTGCAGCCATCAGGGCATTTGTGAGTGGGCACAACACCCTGCTGCAAAACTCGGTCTCCAAGAGATGGCTTCCTGGAGAGCCTACTCTGCGCCACCTAGTAATGGGGCCCTGGGAAAGCAAGGTCTATGCAACCGTGTGCTGAGGGCTGGGATACAAGAGAGCTGCCTGCCGTGCCTCTTAGAGACGTGACAGAGAAGAAGGAACCTGGACCCTGCGCGGGCACTGGAAGAGTGTCACGCATGACTACCAGAAAGATGGTGTTTGAGATAATCTTTGAACTTTGGTACCCTGGAAAATCGATGGGCTGGTGAGCTCTGCCCAGGATTGGCATCCCTCCTGTAATCACAGGGAATGAGCAAAAGGCCATTCTCAGAAGGAAGGGTATCCCCAACAAGGAAGTGAGGTGGGGTTGCAGGGAGGTGGGAGGCAGGTGATGAGCGATGGAGTGCATGAGCAGAGTGATGGAGGCAAGAGCAGAGTGATGGAGTGCGCGAGCAGAGTGAAGGAGTGCACGAGCAGAGTGATGGAGGCAAGAGCAGAGTGATGGAGTGCACGAGCAGAGTGATGGAGTGCACGAGCAGAGTGAAGGAGTGCACGAGCAGAGTGATGGAGGCAAGAGCAGAGTGATGGAGTGCACGAGCAGAGTGAAGGAGTGCACGAGCAGAGTGATGGAGGCAAGAGCAGAGTGATGGAGTGCACGAGCAGAGTGATGGAGGCAAGAGCAGAGTGATGGAGTGCACGAGCAGAGTGAAGGAGTGCACGAGCAGAGTGATGGAGGCAAGAGCAGAGTGATGGAGGCAAG